GGTGAAGATGCTGGTGATGTCATATATACAGTGAGGAAACAGAGGTATTTGAACACCCTGCAATTTTGCAAGTTCTCCCACTTAGAAATCATGGAGGGGTCTGAAATTCACATTGTTGGTGCATTCCCACTCTGAGAGACAGAATTTAAAAAAAAAAATTCAGGAAATCACATTGTATGATTTTTAAAGAATTTATTTGTCTTGTACTGCTGAACATAAGTATTTGAACACCATAGAAAATGAGTGTTAATATTTGGTACAGAAGCCTTTGTTTGCAATTACAGAGGTCAAACATTTCCTGTAGTTCTTGACCAGGTTTGCACACACTGCAACAGGGATTTTGGCCCACTCCTCCACACAGATCTCCTCTAGATCTGTTAGGTTTCGGGGCTGTCGCTGAGCAACACGGAGTTTCAGCTCCCTCCAAAGATGATCTATTGAATTTAGGTCTGGAGACTGGCTAGGCTACTCCAGAACCTTGATATGCTTCTTACGGAGCCACTCCTTGGTTATCCTGGCTGTGTGCTTCGGGTCGTTGTCATGTTGGAAGACCCAGCCACGACCCATCTTCAATGCTCTGACTGAGGGAAGGAGGTTGTTGCTCAAAATCTCACAATAAATGGCCCCATTCATCCTCTCCTTAATACAGTGCAGTCGTCCTGTCCCCTTCGCAGAAAAGCACCCCAAAGCATGCTGTTACCCACCACCCCCATGCTTCACAGTACGGATGGTGTTCTTGGGATGCAACTCATCCTTCATTTTCTTCCAAACACGACGAAGTTTAGACCAAAAAATTCTACTTTGTTCTCATCTGACCACATGACTTTCTCCCATGCCGCCTCTGGATCATCCAGATGGTCATTGGCAAACTTCAGACAGGCCTGGCATTGTGATGACTTGAGCAGGGGAACCTTCCGTGCAAAGCACCTTTGAAACGGTGGTCCCAGCTCTCTTCATGTCATTGACCAGCTCCTCCCTTGTAGTTCTGGGCTGATTCCTCACCTTTCTTATCAGTGATACCCCACGAGGTGAGATCTTGCATGGAGCCCCAGTCCAAGGGAGACTGACAGTCGTCTTTAGCCTCTTCCATTTTCTAACAATTGCTCCAACAGTTGATCTATTTTCACCAAGCTGCTTGGCAATTGCCCCATAGCCCTTTCCAGCCTTGTGGAGGTCCACAATGTTGTCTCTGGTGTCTTTTGACAGCTCTTTGGTCTTGCCCATGGTAGTAGTTGGCGTCTGACTGACTGTGGGGTGGACAGGTGTCTTTAAAGAGCTCAGACAAGTGCTACTAAGTTAGATTAATGAGTAGAGTAGAGGTGGACTTTTTAAAGGCACAGTAACAGGTCTTTGAGAGCCAGAATTCTTGCTGTTTCTTAGGTGTTCAAATACTTATGTTCAGCAGTGCAAGACAAATAAATTCTTTAAAAATCATACAATGTGATTTCCTGACATTTTTTTCTTAAATTCTGTCTCTCAGAGTGGGAATGCGCCTACGATGTGAATTTTAGTGTAATCCTGATATACCATGTTCACAGTCCTTCCTCTATCCAGATTACAGCTCACCTCCTCATAGAATGTTAACAGTTTGTTGCAGCAAGAATGATCTTCCATAAATCCATGCGGTTAATACTAATGACATAATTTCATTAGAAAATTCTTGGATGTGGCCCCATATTATCCCCTTCAATAGTTTACCTGCTATTGATGTTTGGCTTACTGGTCTTTAGTTTCCAGATATATATCTCAGCCCCTTTTTGAATATTGGTACCATGCTAACTGGTACCATTCCAGTTAGTAGGCTGTCCTGTAATAGTTTGGCTATACCATGTCTATGTTCTTTAAGGACTTTTGGGTGAAAGTCATCTTGTCCTGGTGATTTACTCGCATTATTTTTTTCAGATCTTTTTAGAATGCGGTATCCTGTTAGCCACAAGGGTACATTCCATGTTGTACTACTAACAATACTGTCTTGTTTATTATGCCCCTTCGTTTTCCTTTGTAAAAACCAAGGAGAAGAATGTATTTAGTATAGATGCCTTTTCCTTGTCACTTGTAATCAACTTTGCCAGATTATCCTTTATGGGGCCTTTTTACAATTGATATATTTAAAAAAGAAAATTTGGGATTTATTTATTTTTTTGTACTCTGCTGCGTGTCTCTCATGGTCTATTTTAGCTGCCCTGATCATGCCTTTACATTTCTTATTTGGATTCATTGTAATACTGGAATGCTAATGGTGATCCTTTTATCCTTTTATTTTTTAAAGGGCAATTTTGTCTATTTGATATGCCTTTTTATGCTAGAATATAACCACCCAAATTTATCTTTAGTTGTTTTATATTTGTTGCTCATTGGAATGCATTGACTAATGCCATTATTTAATATGTACTTAAATCACTCCCATTTTTTCTTTAGTGTTCTTTGTTTCTAGAATTTGATCCCATTTAATGTTTTGTATTATGGAATGCAACTTAGTTAGCTCTTTTGAAATTCAGTCCTATCTGTCTCCTTTTCCTATGATTTACGGTGAACATAATTACTCTGTGGTTGCTGTTTCCCAAATTATCCCTTACTTCCACATCTGCAGTTAGCTCTGTATTGTTTGTAATTAGTAAGTCAAGCAGGATTTCATTTCTAATTGGGGCACGCACCAACTGCCACATGAAATTGTCCTGCTAGACATTGAAGAAATGATGACCCTTGGATGAGTGAGTGGTTCCATCTGCCAAGTCAGTATCCGGGAATTAGAATTCCTTCATAAAATTTCCCTGCCTCACCACTTCTGTGGTCAGTCTCCTCTTTATCCTTCAGACTAGGGGACTATTAAAGGAGAAGTATGGCTAAAGGTGTTTTGCCACAGAAGTGCAGTTCGTGTTCCACTCCTGTGACCTGCTTTCATCACTCACTTTCCAGCTGATTCACTGACATCACTCAGCCATTCTGGGCTCTGGAAAGATCCCAACTTTGAAGTCGGGATCCACCTAGATGCCAGGTCCAACAGCTGGCTCAGCTCCTCTGAAGGCCTTAGCCAGCCGCTCCTGTCCCCTCCACAGCCTGGTGCTTCAGTGAGCACTGAAGGGGCAGAGTAGAGAGCCGGTGACTGACAGCCACTTCTCTGTAATCAGAGCAGAGGTCAGTGGTCTTTAATCACTCAGCTTTTCAGTCTTAGAAATGGTGGGGGACAGATGCAGTGATCAGCGGTCTTTAATCGATCAGTTTTCAGTCTTAGAAGTGGTGGTGGGACAGATGCAGCATCGGAGCGATGCTGCGTTCACCTAGGCGAGTATAATTTTTTGTGCAACCTCATACTTCTCCATTAATTTACCATGTGTTTCTTCTCTTTGAAGCTTCAACCACAAGGATTCCACCTCCTTCCTTTCCCCTTTAGCAGTGTAATCCTTCATATTCAATAGTATATCACTCTTGACATACAGACACACCCCTCCCCCTCTTCTTCCTACCCTGTCCCTCCGATACAGGGGGTACCCCTGGACAGTCATGTGAGCTGTCAAACCAGGTTTCTGATATTTCCACAAAGTCAAAATCCTCCTTATGTATCACCAGTTCAACTTCTTCCATTTTGTTATACAAGCTTCTTGCATTTGTGAATATACCTTTTAATTGTATAGAAGTGCATATTGGATTTTTCCTCGTTTGCACTAGGCTGCAAAATCCTATTGCAGGCTTATGTGCATTCGTTCTGGGTACTCTAGTTACACAGTTTAAAAGTTACTCCAACCTTTTGGCCATCTTCTCCCTCAACAGAGTCTGCCCAGTTCTCCATCAACTCAAAACCCTCCTTCCTGCAGCAATTCCTCTGCCACTTGTTAATTCCCTAGGCAATTGTTAGTTCCCTAGGTTCCTGCTGACTCTGTGTGACTTGAGGTACAGGCAGTATTTCTAAGAATGATAATAAAAATAATTAATGCACTGTGCAAATACCCCACACTCTCATTGTGCAAAGCCGCAAACACAGCCAGAGGATATCCCCTCTCAATGACAAATCAAATATAAATTTCTGTTGCGCTAAGTGTAAACAATCCATTGCAAACAAGGCTGCCCTTCATCCTAGCAACCAAATCACCTGCTTGTTAACCTCGGTCAGCTCCCACCCTCCATCCAGAACTGTCCTGCCTCCCGCTGTCAGCTCTGTGAGGATGACCGTGAGACAACTGGGGGAAGAAAAAGGCTCTTAAATGGCAGGACTGCATGGGTCCAGATGGGACAGTGACTCGGTCCACATCCGGACCCCGGTCCACCATTTAGTGATGCCTGCCCTATAGCAAAGGGGTCTAAGGATCTGGTAAGCCTCCGATTTGATATTACGGTGGTGGCTATTTTTTACTACTTACCACAGAAACCACAGAAACTTATTCATTTATTTGTGAGCACTATTTATTTATGTAGCATTGAATGTACATCACTAATATATTTGTTTGCAATTGATTGTTTACACTTAGCTCAGCACAAATTTATATTTGACATAGTATTTCTAAGAATACTGCCTTAGAGGTCCTTTTCTTTAATATAGCCCCTAAGTCCCAGAAATAATTTTTAGCATGCAGCCTCTTTGTCTAACTTTGTCATTTGTACCAACATGTACCATGACAGCAATCTGTTAATTTGATCCATGATGTGCGAAACTGAGTGCCCAGTAAACAACATACTGTTTGGCGATCCAACACTTGTTCACACCTTATGTTATATGTTAGTGCTGCTGATATCCTGTAGCCTCTGTCCAGCCACTCTATTAGCCACTTACTGAGGGTGCCAACAGTGGACCATGCTTGCTTTGTGTGTTCAAACATCTTCATCAAGAAACAGGGACAGAGTGTTGTAAGCCTTTCACAGGAAGTGCCTTTCTAAATGGCATTTGTTTATAACAGTGCTTTAGCAAAGGAAATGTAATTTGGTTAGCATTTACATCTAATACAGATAATTCTGGTCTGTTCATGTATTCTTTAGAGTGATACAGATTTTTTTTTCTTGTTTTTCAGTGCCAAGGTCAATTGAACATCCTAAATGGGATTGGAGGACAAAACCAGAAAGTCATGATTTTGATGAACTAAACCACATCCTTCAGGAAAGCAAAAAGCTGGGGAAAGCTTTGGAAAACCTGTCACGTAGTAAGTAGTACCAAATTTGACACACATATCTGTTTATAATACCTATTTTTTGAACTTTATATTGATATTGTATGATTGATATATAATATATATTATTTAGTTTTAATAGTGCAAGTGTTCGCATTTTTTATGTTATTCCTGATGCTTTACATTTTTCAAAGCATTATCAGTAGTCTGGGGTGTAAAATATGTTTGACTTATTTTATTTTTATTTTGTTCTACAGGTATTGCTGTTTCAGATGACCTTGAGCAGGTAATGGCATATATCCTTTACTCGTCTCCTAAATGGCACAGATGCAACGCATAATACCCCGAAAATATGTAAAAAATTGTAATTTATACACCAGTAATGATTGTCAGAGGTCCTAAAAGCAGATTCCCCAGGTGAACTGCAGATCAGATCTGTATTAGGGCTCTGGCCCCATCTGATCACCCAAAGGCTCTGGAAAATATCAAAAAAGTAGTTGTCAAAATGTATCTTGGGTCCAGTGTGAGCTCGCATTGACTGCTTTGCCTTTAAGTAACCTTGATTTCATAGCAGATTCATCACTAAGAACCGTGTGCCTGTCAAAAAAACAGTATTGCTCCACTGGGCTTATCAAAACTATAGTACATGACATGCTTAAATGTGAACCTCCATGCTTTATATGCCAGGGCTGCTTTTTATTTCCAGTTCGACATTGGCTCAGACAGTCAATGCTATGCTGCCTAAATAATTGAACTCTTTTATGATTTTATGGTTCAACAATCTTGTGTTGGTTGCCTTGGGCAGCATTGATGTTTTCATTTTCATTCATATACTCTTATGAACATCACAAACATTACCAGTTTGGCCTTTTTTGCAGTCTGGCAGTACCGTGTTCACTTGGAAGATAATAAACTATCCACTCACATGCAAAGGAGGCACATACTGCTTGTAGAACTTTTAAGCTGAACCACAGACAGTTATAAGCACCTGGATTTGACTTATCAGCTTCTTCCAATCACAGACTCAGACAGGGAGAGGGAGGTGCAGGCCTGTCAAGTGTGATGCATACAAATAAATTAACAAGAAATGTGCTGATAAAAGGAGGGAGATGACATATTCAGTCTCCTGCTACTCCTGTACCAATGAATCAGTCGACTGAGGGTGGAGTAAGGACACCACTGTATGTCTTCTTCATTCTAAAAGTCTAGAACGTGGTGTCATCTTCCTGCTATGTTTTGTGACAACAGGGCTGTGTAAAACTCAGAATTGAATGGACAGAAATACAAATACCGTGGTACATAAAGTGGAAGAAAAGTTTTACTCTAATTATTCTTAAATACGTTCCCTTCCTGCTCCTCCTACCTATCCTATTCCCTCTATAAAAAAAAAAAAAAATCTGTGTACTTTATATTTTTTAATCCGGTCCATTAAGGTCACATGATTCAGCAGCTCCGGATTCCCTGGGTAAGGGAGTGCTTGACAATGGCTTAGAATTCCAGGATCCGTGACATCACCATTAGGCTCCCTTGGCACAGTTGTTGGTGCTCCCTCCTCTCCCCTGTGGCAGTCGCTTTCTTACACAGGGAAACTGGTGCTGCTTGATCATGTGACCGGACTGGATTAAAAATAGGTATGTACACAGATCTCTTTTACAGTGTATGCAGGATAGGTAGGAGAAGGAGAGGGAAAATGTTTATGCATAGTTAAGGTTGCTTTTCTTCCAATTTAAAGCAGAAATTGAGTTGCTAAAAATAACTGAGAGAAGGCATAATTTTTAATCTAGAGGAGATCTACTAGGATTCATCATAACCGGAGTAGCCAAAGTCTGAAGCAGCTGTGCATAGCAACCACTTAGGTTTTATCTTTCATTTTCAAAGCTTAACCACTTGCCGCCCCGCCACAGTACAGTAATCGAGCCTGCAATTGAGCCTGCACCTGGTTAGGCGTAGTCGCTGTTACCGGGAACCGGGTATCATATGATTGCTATGATTGGTCATAGCGATCACATGATAACAATGTAAACAACTTGTGGTGAATGGGGCTCTATTCATGAACAGAATGCTCACTGTTGTGATCTGTGATTGGCCCACAGCAATCACAGGACACATGGCTACTTGAATCATGTGATTAGGTTAACCAAAGATCACAGGCAAAAACAAATTGTTCATGAATGGGAAACCCATTCATGACAGCTAAAGCCCTTGCGAATACACTGATCTTCACAGTATAAGCAATAAGTGTTAAAAAAACAAAACAAAATAAAAAACCTGATCCCCGTCCCCCAGTGTAGTACAATAGTACAGTGTCACTATGGTGACACTAAGCTACTCTGGTGAAAGGGTGTAAAAAAAAAAAGTTTGCAATCTGTTCTTATCACATGACAGCCAATGATGCTTTTATAAACACCCCCTAATGCTCAGAACGTCCATCCCCATGATTAATCATCAAGGGGTGGAATGAAACACGTTTGGGGCATGGCCTGGCTGGAGTCTGGGCTGAGGCTGCCATTCATCTCTACTCATGCACATGGGTCTGCCTTTGATGTGCAGGCTATGGATCTTTCTTTCTGACATTGCTGTAGCTTGGAGCTAGGACAAGCTCCCAATCCCTGCCAGCACTCACAGCGGTCTAGTTTGGACCTTACCTAAGCAGCACCTAATTTTGTATTTTTTGGGTCACATAAACTCGTCATGCCACTTACTAAATACCCTCCGACTATCTACTTTCCAAAAAGGGGCCATTTGGGAGGTGTTTGTACTGTCCTGGCATTTTAGGGCTTCAAGAATTGAGATAGCCCGTTAGTACATCAGGACTGAACGATTTTCAAATATATATATATATATATAAAGGAGTTGGACTAAATTATGGAAGCACCAGGTAAAAGAACAAAATCATTACCTAAAATGGTGTTGGACTGCCTTTGGTATCCTAGACGGCTTGAATTCTCCTGGTAATTGACTAATATAACTCTTGGGTGGTGGATAATGGAATCTGATGCCATTCTTCAAAAACGTTCCAGTTCCTGCAGAAATACTGGAGGTGGAAAAACGAGCCCGAACCTTGTCCTCCAAAGTTGACCATAGTGGCTGTATGATATTGAGGTTCGGGTCCGACTGCTGCACCTAGAGAAGGTGCATGACTTTGTGTGCATGCTCAAACCACAATTTGACAACACCAGCTGTGTGAATCGAAGCGTTATCATCGTGGTAAATGGCGCAGACTTTGATAAACAATGTCTGCACCATGGGGCACATTGCCTGTCATAATTTGCACATAGTTGCTGGCAGCGGCTTTACCTTTCAAGGTGATGATGGGGCCTGCATGCAGAAAATTAAGATATGGCTGCCCAAAACCATGATTGCGCTGCCACCGTGCTTTACCTTTGGCACAAGACAGTCCTGGTCATAAGCTTGGGACGATACTATATTCCACGATTTATGAGTGTTGCTCCACTCTGTCTTCTTTTGAGCAATAATATTGGTCACTAGTGATTTGGCAATTGCAGCTCACCCCATGAATGTTTTGCTTATGGAGTTTCCTCTGCACAGTTTTTGTGGACATGGGCTTGAGCTCTGCAGTCACTTTTGCAGCAGTTGTTTTCATCTTTCAGGTCACAATCCTGTGCAATGTCCTTTTTTCTCTTTCAGACAGTTGACCATGTCTGCGACGCTTTTGCTTATCACACAACGTTTTCCCAGAAACTGTATATTCCTTCCTAACCTTTCAAACCTGTACCTTCACAACATGAAAATAAATTGTCAACTTAAGTCACAGAGGGACCAGCTAAGTGGGCACCAACAATTTTCACTCTTTTAAACTCCGTAACCTCAGGCATGACTCCGCGTTACTAGCAGCGCCAAAAGAAGCAAAACGATGTTACATCACTTCTGCTTTCAATGTGAAACGTCGTCACTTTCACACCTGCAAATCATTTCATGTTCCATGTTTTGTCCAACCCATGTATACCATAGTTTGTAGACTCTATAAACTTTCACACAAATCAATTGATATGCAGCTATTGGGATTTTGTTTTTGTTTTACCAAAGTCATGTGGCAGAATACATTTTGGCCTAAATTTATGATGACATTTTATTTTATTTGATATTTTTATATTTTAATAAAAATTATTTTTTTGGTTTACATAAAAATAAAAAAAAAAAACAGTGGTGATCAAATGCCACCAAAAGAGAGAACGATTTGTGTGAAAAATTATAAAAATTTTGTTTGGGTACAGCATTACATGACCGCAGAATTGCCAGTTAAAATAGCGCAGTACCAAATAGCAAAAAATGGCTTGGTCATAAAAGGGGTATAACCTTCTGGAGCTCAAGTGGGTAAAGCCTAACTCCAGGAAAATGACTGCAAGGGTTAAATGACCAGTATGTTGGGGGAGAGATGAAGAAACTCTATCACTTATCATACACCCTGCTTCAGTTAGCTCCAGCGCTGTCCTGCTCAAAGCTCTATGAGCGAAGCTGCAGCATCATCAGTACAATACAAGTGCATTAACCCTGTAGATACACTGAAGAGGCTGGAGTGGAAACGTAGCCAGTCAAAACTTCCAAACAGGCTACAGTGGGTAATTTCAGCACTGGAGTGCGTAATAAGGTAAGTATTTACTCCCTAATCTTCTGCCTGTAGACTTAAAGTAGCAGAAACCCTTGTGGGAGGGAAGGGTCCACTGCAAGGGTGGATTTTAAACATTTTCTTGGAGTGGGGCTTTAACCGAACAAGGTGCAGATAGAAGGTGATTGGTTGCTGTGCACAACTGCTCCAAATTCTGTTTGCTCCAATTTTGATAAATTCCACCCATGTCTCCTCTGAAATAAAACCACTTTCCTGTGTGCTAGCAAGCCTTTTTAAAAATGTACACTGAGCTGTGTATGTATAACTTTAGTGTACATTCTCAGAATGCCTTGATCCAAGGATAAATGAAGTCTTATGCACATAAGTCCGAGTTACATCATCCCCAGCTGGCCAATCGAGATGAACGAGGATGTTGAAATCAGAAAAAGACTGTTGAAGATGTCGGCAAAGCAGCTCAGACATCACACTGTAGGAGAGGAGATGAGTATAGGCGGTCTACAGTCCTGCTTTAAAACGGCATCCTTTATTTATTTCATCTGTATATTTAACTGTTTACATCAAATTAAGTTGTGTGATTGCTTCTGAGACATAGGTGTAAAAGTAGAATTCTGGGCTAAACTTAACTAATCTTAAAACTGCCCTCCCCCCTCCAAACACCTATGCTAACTAACCTGTGTAAGAAAGATGCATATACTTAC